GTCACATTTCATCAAATGTCTGGAATCATAACTGCCCTTAACAAAAAGTTACAACTGAAGTTTATTTTTGCAAGTATACTTTAAGTTAAGTATAAGTATATCAAGTATACTACACAACATACTTGTAGTGTACTAGAAGTATACTTATTTAATACTTGTTTGGACTAAATTGGGACATTTTAATACTTTTTTTAAGTATATCAAATAAAGTTTATAAAAGTAAACTTCAAGTACACTTCCTCATTTTTAGTGTAAAATAAGAATACTTGTAGTATACTTAAATAAACTACTTTTTGCTAAGGGTGATGTAAACCAACAAAAACATTAAACTACAGTTTTGTTTTGTTTGTAGGATAAACTTAATTCATTTTTGGGGCTGTTACTCAAACTTAAACTTAATAATTATTTATTTTCCTATAATTTAAAAAAAAAAAATATATAGAAAATTTCCTGATTTTATTTTTAAACCTACAGTAGGTGTCATTGCATTTTTTTATCTGCAACTAAAATACATTTAATTTTAGGGCAGTCAAAGAAAACTTGAATGTATTAAATATGAAACTGAGCGTTTGGTACAGTCTAACTGCCTCCTCCTCCTGCAGTGGTCCAGGATGCTGCCAGTAACGAGAGCAACAATCTCCTGCTGGACACGTCAGACTTGGCCATCAGTCAGTACAGTCTGCTGGGACAGACGCCTCCTCTTTCTGCCCCGGACAGTCCAGCTGCTCGCCCTCGACCCTCCTCCTCCTCAGTGGTGCCTGGTGGGACTCCTGATGTTGCTCCTGTGGTTGAAGAAGAAATTAAAACGCCTGATGTTTCCCCTCAGGATGACAAAGATGAAACGAAGTCTGACCCTTCTCAGACTTCTGAGCTGAGCTCCGTGCTTCAGTCTCCGGTGATTGTTGTGACCCAACAGTTTGAAGACCCAGAAACCAGAGAAGAAGAAACCGCAGCAGGTGGTGCTCATTCAGCAGCCACAGACTCTACAGCAGCTGAACCAGATGGAGCTGCTGCTGCTGCTGCTCAAGAGGTCGATATGACAGACTCACAGCCTGAACCAGGATCCGAGTCTACAGACCCAGGATCCACAACCCCGGACTCTGCTGACCCAGGACCCAAAACCCCAGACTCTACAGAGCCAGGACCCACAACCCCAGGCTCTACAG